TATTTGAGGGCTAATTTTTCCTGCTGATGATTCTTCTACATACTTTACCCAATGCCCTACGACTTATGAGGTTTTACAGTCTGGCTGGGGGAAATAGGCATTATTCCTGGTCCTTTGTAAGCTCACAGTACTGTTCCCACTAATTACCAAAGGTGTTTCTTTCTTAGCATCAACCAGTGTCCTCACACTCATACACTGGAAGCATCACAAATGTTCTCGAGCTGATGAAAAAAGATGATGGTAGCAGTAGGGTCTTTTTTTTTTTTAGCAAATATATTATATATATGTATATATACACACATATACTCATAGATATGTATATATACACATATGTATGTGTATATGCACATATATATATATGAGATAATTTTTTTGTGGTCTTGAGTAAATGCTTTCATTAGCTTTTATTTTATTCTATTTCAGATAAATATAAGGGTACGTATGATTGGGTTACATTGTTTACATTTGTTATGTAGCATCCAAATTGTATTGGAACACCCAAGAGGTGTTCCATATACCCCTACATTGTACTCATTAAGTGGGAGCTTACTGAGCCCCCTGTTTCCCTTCCATTCTCTCCCCTACTTGAATTTAATTGTTTTTCTTCTCTTGTGGGCCTGTAGTTGTTCATCTGCTAGTTTCAAATTAGTATTGAGTAAATGGGATGCTTGTTTTTCCATTCTTGAGATATATTAGTAAGGAGAACATTCTTTAACTCCATCCGGGTAAATACAAAAGATGTAAAGTAGTAGTAGTAGTATTCCATAGTATACATATGCCACAGTTCATTAATCCATCCATGGGTTGATGGATACTTGGGCTGTTTCCACATCTTTGTGAATGTGAATTGAGCTGCTATAGATATTCAAGTGCTAATGTCCTTAGGATAATATGATTTTTTTCTTCTGGGTAGATACCTAGTTGGGATTGTAAGATCAAATGGGAGGTCAACTTTTAGCTCTTTGTGGATTCTCCATACTTCTTTCCAAAAAGGCTGTACTAGTTTGCAATCCCACCAACAATGTATAAATGTACCCTTCTCTCCACACCCATGCCAGCATCTGCAGCTTTGGGACTTTGTGATATGGGCTATTCTCAATCGGAGTAGGTGATATGTCAGGGTGGTTTTATTTGCATTTCTGTAATACTTAGGAATGAATGATGAGCATGTTTTCATGTGTTTGTTGGCTATTCGTCTGTCTTCCTTAGAGAAGATTCTGTTCATGTCTCTTTCCCAGTGATTAATTGGGGTGTTTTCTCTTTTCTTGTTGATTTGCTTGAGTTTTTTTTTTTTTTTTTAATTGAATGGTAACTATGTACATTAATGCACTTCCGGGGTACAGTATGCTTTCACATACACTTTGAAACATTTCCATCAAACTGGTTAACATGGCCTTCATGTCATTTTCTTAGTTATTGTGTTAAAACGTTCATATTCTACTCTATTTGCTTGAGTTCTTTATAGATTCTGCATATTAGTCTTTTGTCAGATTTATAACATGTGACTCTCTTTTCCCCTTCTAAAGTTTACTTGTTTGCTTTGTGTTTATTGTGTTCATAACTGTGCAGAAGCTTTTAAGCCCAATCAGGTCCCAGTTATTTATTTTTGTTTTGGCTGCAGTTGCCAATGTGGTCTTCATAAAATCTTTCCCCAGTCCAATATTATTAAGAGGTTTTCCCACACTTTTTTAAAAGTTTTTATAGTTTCGTATCTTAGACTTAAATATTTTATCCAGCATGTTAATTTTTGTAAGTGGTAAGAGTTATAGGTTCAGTTTTAGCCTTTTACGTGTGGCTAACCAGTTCTTTTAGCATGATTACTTAGATAGGGATTCTTTTCCCCAGCATATGCTTTTGTTTGGTTTATCAAATATCACATGGCAGTGTGAGACTGGTTTCTGCCCTAGATTTTCTATTCTGTTCTATAGATCTATGTCTCTATTTTTATGCCAATATGATGCTGTATTTATGCCAATGCTTTGGACTTTTAGTGTTACCTGAAGTTGCAGGGAGAATGGGGACTGACGATCCCATTCTTGGCAAGGGAAAACACACCTAGAAAAGGGAAGAAACAGAAAAATAAGCTGAGCCAAGGCAGAATAAAAACAGGTTAGTTAAACCAGCCGCTAAATTTCTTATCTGAGCAGTTTCCTGCTTTTCCTAGATGCCTAACCTGTAGAGGATACAGCTTGCAAACACCCCTGTGGATCTGTGAACACTGTGAAGAAACACTGGCCGCAGAGGAAGCTACTTACAAGGCCTGAGTAGAAAGATTAACCAGGCTTCCCCCTGCCCAGTTAACAGTCAAAGCAAATACCCATTATAGAGATTTGTATTTGACCAGGGCAGAGATCAAGAGAATAGCTCAAGCCCTGAAATATGGGCAGGAGGGCTTATGTACCCCCTTATCACAGAAGAAGATGCCTCTGGTGGAGAGATCAGGAGAAAATTCTTCTGTCCCACCAATTCTTCAAAGACTGACCCCACTGGCATTTTACTCCACAGTGAACTAGTGAGGATTAACTTCCTCTAAGGAATCTGTGTGTATGACCACAGACAGGAGGCTGCCCACACACAAGGCTCAGGTTTTGGATTTCTCAAGGCTGCTCAGACCTTTAAAGTTAATGATTACAGAAACAACAAGTGCTCATATGCTTACTCAGAGAAACTGCTGACGTTTTTATTACCTTCCTCAGCTTACCCTCTAAGCTAAATGATCAAATAGCCTTCAATAAAATCTCAGTAGAACAAATACTCAGGGCCATCTGCTGTAAACCCCACAAGCTAGCAATGTTACCCTGTGTTCTTACCTTTGAAAATTCTGTTCTATGTGTCCTGTCTCTTTATCTCTCACCGCTTCTAACTTTATTTTTGTTCAGTCGATCACTACCAGCTCTACAGGTCTTAAAGGAGCCTGCCCCTGGGGCAGGACCCTGGCAGAAGTATTATGTGATGCCTCCAGATTTGTTTTTATTACTAAGAACGAAATACTATTTTCTCCAGTTCTTCAAAGTGTGATGTTGGCATTTCAGTGTTATATTTTTTTGTGCTTCCATATGAAACAAAGAATGATGTTTCAAGTTCTTCATAGTATGATGGTGTTTTAATATGGATTGCATTAAATCTGTAGGTCACTTTGGATAGTATGAACATTTTAACAGTTGCCCAGCCATGAATGGGTAGGCCAGCATTTTATATTTTTCCATTTGTTAATATCTTCACAGCAGGGCCTTTATAAGAGTTCATGGACACAGGCACTGTTACTGTGCAAGACTCTTTACATTAACCATCTTAAAATATATCCAATGTTTCGCATTAAATACTTTTTTATTGTAAAATTTGAAAGCCTTTGTATTATTTGCATAATTTGAGGTTTTCTGAAGTATAATTACTTGTTCTCTTCTTGTAGATGTGAATGAAATTTATTCATACACACAGAGTGGATTGATAAGTTTTGAGTATTTTTGTAAATTTTTATTTTTATTTTATGGGTCTTTTTTATTTTTTGTCAGTCAGGTTTTTTGTTTGTTTTTCATATTTCAGACATTACTATGGGCCCTTGAAAATTTTATAGGCCCTGGGCATTTTCCCTACAGAATTCCTAGATGGCAGCAGTAGGAAAGGACAGAAGGGAATACATCATACAGCAAAGATTGAGAACATTTGAACTGCATCTGGTTAGGGTGAGAGGAAAGAGGGAGGAGAGTCATGGTTCAACTGTCTTGCTGAAGGGGTGGCTCACCGCACATCACAGAGATAGAGAACACAAGGACAGGCATAACTGTGGGAGAGAGGACAGGGCAGGTTCCATCTGCGATGGAAAGATAGCACCCTCCTGTCAGGAGGTGAAGAAATGTGAAGGATGCCAAATTCCTCTCCTTCCATTTCTCTCCTCCTATCTTCCATGCATTATCTTGAAAGATACCTGCCTCTTATCATGTCTTTGCTGATAGGATCGTATCTGCTAGGAATGTGGTAACAATCCTCTGATAATTAAGGAAAGTGCCAGTCTCTAGGATAAGTAGTCCCCGTCGGCTCTTGTGCTGGAAGAGGATTGTGTACTGTCTTCTGGTTGCTTTTCTTTTCCCAGAGTTCCTTTGCTTACTTCTCTTATCATCTTTTTAGAGTTTCATAGAAATTCCTGGTGCCACCTTCTGTGATGTCTTCTTCTAGAGGAAGTCAGACTCCGAAGAAGAGGCTTTCGTCCCTTTATACAGAAAAGGTAACCCCAGAGATGCCACCCACAACAGAGGACTGGCCTATAGATGATGAGGAGTATCATCTTGAAGATATAGGTCAGGAGCTGGACTCCCTGCCTCAGCCCTATCGAATGATTAACAAGCTGGTGAACCTTCTGTTTGACCGGTCATGGCAAATTATTGAAGAGAGGAACACATCAAAGGGAACTGAGAATCGTCGGATCCAGCCTACCACCTACCCCCCATTTCAAGAAATCCAGGTACAGAGTAGGCAGCTGACCAGAAGTCCCTATTTTTTTTTTTTTTTTTTTTTTTTTTTTTTTTGAGACAGAGCCTCAAGCTGTCCCCCTGGGTAGAGTGCCATGGCATCACAGCTCACAGCAACCTCCAACTCCTGGGCTCAAGCGAGTCTCCTGCCTCCGCCTCCCAAGTAGCTGGGACCACAGGCGCAGAAGTCCCTATTTCTTATTTGAGTGTTAGTAAAGGAAAACCCCTGAGAAACATGCATTCAGTAAGACAGGTGCATTTTTGAAAGATTGTAGTTATGTTGATGTTCATTAAAAACATTGCCTGGGGAAATGGCTTGTTCTGGTTAATTGAAGATTTATAGAAGGTCTTTTATATTCAGATGCTGTTATTGAAATTTTTTCCTCAATGTATTAGTCCACTTTCTCGTTTGGTGGTTGAGCATCTGTCATTGCCTCAGCTATTGGTTCGTTCTTCCCACAGCACACTAGATTAATAAAGTACAAGGCCTGTGGGCATGCTTCGTGTTATGAACATACATTTATTCTCAACTTATTTGTTTACTCTCAGCTTTTTCCCTAAAACTGGAATGCTATGAATTTCTTGATGTTTGGGTAAGAGTTTTAGGTGAATACTGTGCTTGGGGGTGATATTGCATCTAGAAAGGGCCCATGACTCTTTGAAAAGTCAGCTCATAGTACTTAAAGACAGTAACAACTAAAAATAATACCTTTTTCTTTGTCTTTGTTTTCCCAGCTCAACAAAAGAGCAAATTGTATGGCTGTTTCCCAAGACTATCTGTTTATTGGAGAAGCCAAAGGATTCTCTATTTATAATCTATATACTGCTAAACAAATATATGTTTGGGAGAAACTTAAAGTTGATATCACTTCCATCTTGGTCTCAGATTTGGGGAGTGAAATACTTACTGCTCTTATAGATGAAATAGGTATTTGTTCTTCATCTTCCTTTTTTGGCTAATTTACAGATACCTGTAGACTATTATTCAATTTAAGGTCTTTTCCAGGTTTGGGTAGTGCTGGGCATAGAGAATCCTCCCTGGTCATTTAGTAGTAACTAGTATCTACAGAACAAGTGTGTGTGCCAAGCACCATTCTAATTTTTCACCCATGTTAGCACATTGAATCCTCACAATATCCCTGGGGAGAAAGTACAGTTTATTATTTCTCTTCAGAAGAAGCAACTAAGGCATGAGGTAATGTGGAAAGTAAGTGGCATGGAGGTTTCAAACCAGGCAGTATGGCCCCAGAGGCCACACCCTTCCGGCACTCAACATCTTGATGCTCACAGAAACCAAAGCTTGCTTTTCTCCCTCAGCATGAAGATGAAGCAGGCATTCAGCTGTGTAGTATTAAGAACTTCACAGTGTCCTGGATAGGTAGACAGTTGGTTTTAGTTGCCCATGAAAGGCTAGGCTCCCTCTAGCCCAGCAGTTCTCAACCTGTGGGTCGTGACCCCTTTGGGGGTCAAATGACCCTTTCACAGGGGTTGCCTAAGTACATCTTGCATATCAGATATTTACATTACGATTCATAACAGTAGCAACGAACATAATTTTATGGTTGGGGGTCACCACAACTGAGGAACTGTATTAAAGGGTCATGACATTAGGAAGGTTGAGAACCACTGCTCTAGCCTGTCCCTATGTTTGGGTGATCCAGACACGGCCTCTGGATATGGAGAGTTTCCCTCCTTTATGGATAAGAAGGCAAGTGTCAGCATCAGCCAGGAAATCAGAGAGGTGGCTGTGTGATCCTGGGCAAGGGGAGCAGAACGTGCCTATTCCCCTTAAGATCGTCTGTGGGAGTGTCTCTCCTAGTAGCCACTCTGCTCAGGCAACACAGCACACTGGAGAGTGACCTGACCAGATGGGCATTTGGGGAAGGCCACCCTGGCAGGAGTTTGAAAAAGTCAAAACAAGAGGCAAAGAGACCAGGAGGGACTATTGTACTCATTGAGGAGAGAAATTATGAAGGTCTAAACTAAGGCAGGGGCTGTTAAAATGAAAAGAAAAATTGTACTGTGGTTACATAAAATGTTAACAGTAGGGGAAGAAAGATGAAGGATATAAGGAACTCTTTGAACTATTTTTGCAACTTTTTTTTTTTTTTGAGACAGAACCTCAAGCTATCATCCTGTAGCCATGTAGAGTACCATGGCATCACAGCTCACTGCAACTTCCAACTCCTGGGCTTAAGCGATTCTCTTGCCTTAGCCTCCCAAGTAGCTGGGACTATAGGTGCCCACCACAATGCCCGGCTATTTTTTGGTTGTAGTTGTCATTGTTGTTTGGCAGGCCTGGGTTGGATTCGAACCTGCCAGCTCTGGTGTATGTGGCTGGCACCCTAACCACTTGAGCTACAGGCGCCAAGCCTTGCAACTTTTTTTTATGTCTAAAATTAGTTCAAAGTAAAAAGCTTAAATGTCTGTATAACCCTCAATATGATGGATTTGAAGGCAGACTGTCTTAGTGTCCCTAGCACATATACTCATATGGAGCAGATAACCCATAAATCTTTATTGAGTTGAGTTAGACCTTCACCCAGAGTGGGCCAGATGTCTCTATAATGTCTGTTCTATGGTATGACTAGAATACACCTAAAGAAAGAGATAAGTCATGGTTGGTGATGGTCATAAATTAATGGGAACATTAAATGGGAATTAGATTGACAGAATTGCTTATTAATTCAACAAAATTAATAGTGGAAAGAGCTTGTTGGAATTGAGAGGTGATGACCATGGATGAGTGAGATATGATTCTTTCCTTCAAATGATCTATGCACTCAGAAGAGGAATACAACACACAGGAAACAAGTGGTAACAGTGTGAAGCAATAATGGGGATGCAATGTAATAAGTGGATAGGACCCAGCAGTGGGATGATGTGGCAGCATGCTTATAGGAACTTCTAGGACATGCAAGTAGGGCTGGGGAAGATAGAGAGAATCCAGGAAGGAAATGACCTGAGCATGTCCAGTGAGTGTGGAAAAAGACAGGGAAACAGAGCAGTGGAAGGCCACAGAGGGGTCTAAGATTCATTAGCTTATGAAGGAAAAGTCAAACATAAAGTTTTAATTCTTCTTTGCCTCATTTGTGTCTTACATTCTCACTTATTTTTCTTTTTCAGGTATCATTAGACTGCTTTATTTTTATAAGGATAGTCTTTTCCTAATCAAAGCCATCAATGAAGTGGTGAGTTCGTTTTCACCTTTATCTGAGTCAAAAGTTGTAGCCAATTAATTTTACTTTTAATATGGAAGAATGATAGCTGTCCTAGATTTAAGAGAAATAGAGAACTCCCTGGTCAGAGAGTTTCCTCCAAAATATCCAATTAAAAGATTTCCCATTGTCAGAGGGTAGAGTTTGAATGCCTTGCATTTATTTACCCTGCTGTCAAGAGAAGAAAATTACTAAGGAGTTCCAGTCTCAATTTTTCTCTTGAGCATCAGACACGTGTACCTGATAGGTAATTACACATAAAAGTCCTTAAATTTTCCAGGCTGTTTCACATCCCTTTTCCCTCACCTGTGCTCTTCCTTCAGCTTGGAATGCTCCCCTTGTTTCCCTACCTACCATGTCCACCTGTTTAATTTCTTCCATTCTTCAAGACAAGCCCAAATATCTCCTTCTCTGAGGAGGAGGCTAATAGACCCAAGAAGAGCTAATCTCTCCCTGCTTCATGCCACCTCAATATAGAACATAAATTCTATTACATTAGCGTTT